GTCAGCAAATGGCCCTCCACCAAGACCCAATAAATCAGAGTCCACAAAACCCAGGTCAAGTCTCAAGTCTAGGTTTGGTATCCAAGTCCAAAATCCAGGCATGAAATCCAAGGTCTAAACATGAGGTCAGAAAATAAGGCACAGGTCCAGAATCAGGAAACATGAAGTCAAATCACATGCACGATAGGGAAGTGAATGGTTGGCTACAATGCCCCTTTGCTTCATGTATCAGACTGAATGATCACCAGCAGGTGCAACTCATTAGGAGAGGTGAGGCGGCTTCCTTATGAGTAGCCTCACTGATTTCCATGTGCCTTTCTCTGCTACATGCCCTTGGATCTGACAGGCAAGGCAATTCCTCCTTGTCTCCACTGACATATGCAGCTATACCACTTCTGCACCCTGTACCTCTGGCTGGTCATCCACATTTCCCAGCTGCAGCTGTATCTCTGCTCTTTCCTCTTCAGCCAGGCACTTGTCTAGTCACTATCGCATCAGCCCTTCCAATGTTCCTGGGCTCTCCTTCTCTTGCCCATCTATTCCTGACATGGAGTCTCCTGCATCCTATCCATACTGCTCTGTGTCCTTTTTCAAAATCTCCAGAGCTGGCTCTTGTTGTCTGAGCCGACATCCAGGGGAGCCTGTCCTGGCCAGGTTGGAAGGCTTCAGCCTGCTGTTGCATCTTTTCCATCTTTCTGTTTCAATCTATCTTGTTTTCTCCAAAATAAGATCTTCCTGGATAATAAGCCCAATCGTTCTTTTGAGCTCATGTGCTAAAATAAGCTCTGTCCCGAAAATAAGTCCTCCCTGAAAATATTGCAATACAGCAGCAACCACAAGGTGACCATGCTCGCCACCTCCTGCACCTCAAAAATAATAAGACCTCCCTGAAAATAAGGCTAGGTGTTTATTTCAGGGGTCAAAAGAAAATAAGATCATGTCTTATTTTGTGGGGAAAACAGTAAGTTTGCTAAACCAAAATCATAATCAAAAATTAGGACTAAACAGAATGAAAATGAAGGATCACTATCAGGTACACAGATTGTATCAATGAACAGTGGAGTTAAACATGTTCTTCCTTCTGATACATTTTCTCTAGAAAATAAATCAGTAGGAAATTTCTCCTTCCATTGTATGATTATAAACATATCGGACTTTTGCCAAAATAAGACTTAGCAATTATGAAAACTAATTTCTCCTGCACATTTCTATTTTGCTTTCTAGCAATCTGTCTCTACACATACACATATGCTGTCTGTCTACACGTATGAATACATATAATTATCAATTGACATCACATGAATAAAAAAGCATGGGATGAATGAATACTAAAATACTGTATGAGGTCCTTGGTCATCTTTATCTGTGCNCCTCTTCATATGGGTTTCCACTTCTTTACTGAATGAAGTGTTTAGAAAAAAAATCCTTAACTTGCTTCAAAAGCTGCTGTGGTGTCTGAAGTGGTGTAGTATTTCCTGCCTAGCAGGGGGTTGGACTAGAAGACCTCTAAGGTCCCTTACAACTCTGTTATTATGTTCTGTTATAATTAGGAATATTTAGGGTATAGTCCAACATTTTATAACTGGTGATTTGAATCTTTAATGAAGGGGTCTTGAAAAGGAGGAACTGTTGACAAAAAAACCTTTCTTTTGGCCATTCTTTTGGGGGTGGGATCATGCTGCTGCTCTTCTCACCTCTAGTGTTCACCTGAGAATAGTTGCAGAGAGCTATGAAGTGTTTGGGAATGTTTTATTACGACTGATGTGATATTAGTGTGAATTTAGCCTTTTAAAATCACACATTTAGATTTTAAATTTGTTTGAAACAAAACAGAAGCACATGTACTCAATTAAAGATGCTGCAAAATAGCCATTCTTGGTGGGTTTTACTCATTCTCATGTCCATATTCGGGATAAATGCTCACTGTGCCAAAAAGAAAGAAAGATTATATCTGAATTTTATGTTCAGACCTATTGCAAATTATGATAAAGAGATTCTGGATTAATAAATCAAGGAGAATCATGATTTTGAGTTCTACATTCTTGATGAAAGATAGCTATCTCATATTTAGAATATGTTTCCATATTACTTTAGTATAAAACAAAATAGGCCATGCCATCAATTATTGGTATTTTTAAACCATGAAGTGTAATTAATGTAAGAGAAAGATTCTGCTTCCTGATTGATTGTTTTCTATTTAATACTGCCCTGTAATTAAAACTGAGAGTTATAGATAGTTATTGTAGATAATCAGGTGGAACTAGGAATAATGCAACTTTCCCTATCTATCAACTGAACATGGCAATAGTAAGTTCAATGATAACACTAATAGAATTAATAATGTTAAAAATTGCTGAAATTTGTTTTTTTTTCCTTTGTTTTGGAGGCACCTGTGCCATTCCCATTCAGTTAGATTGGACAGAGATCGCAAATGAATATAAAAAAAATAAGTTATTTTTTCTGGGTTCAATTTTGAAATATATATGTATGTATGTATGTGTACGTATGTATGTATGTATGTATGTATGTATGTATGTATGTATGTATGTATGTATGTATATATATCATCGTTGTTATGTTAGGAATCTTGAACAGAAAATCACAGTGACATGCATTAGGAATCAGATTTGGTTAGAAATTCAAGAATTCTGTCAAAGTGAAGATAGGATGGAATGCCTTTAAGTGGGGTGTGAAATTGTGCAACTTAACCCTTGGGAGTATATTTGTCAGTTGTTAAAAGACAGATAGAAA